TTTTCTGTAACTCTCTATTATGCTCTTTTTTTGTCTTTTCTTTCGTGCTATCTGTATTCCTCTCTCTGTTCCACCTTCTTTTTTTTGTTCTTTCCTGCTATTATTTATATATGTTCAGAATTGGTTGTGGAAAATGGGCAGGTGATAGTTAATGAAGCAGGAGTTGCGGGAGTTGTGGGGAAGGTTGTAAAGAGTGGGCAACTGGTAGTTAATGGAGGAGGAGTTGCAGGAGTTGTGGGAAAGGTTGTGGAAAGTGGAAGTGAACAGTTTTGGGGAACCCAAACCCTTTCCAATGGAAGGACAGCTTTGTTACAAATCGTAACAAACTATCTTGCATGCCATTGTCGCTTTCTTTCTTAAACAAGAAGAGAAACAGTAAAATGTATCATTTAATTCACTAGAGAATGACAAGTCGTCCGTGGCCGAATTGTCAAATTTGTCTTGTTGTACGCTTCCTCCTTTCGATTCAGTCCCTGCCCATTTCGATTTTCCTGCAACTGAACCCTTGGCAATAATTATGTGAGTCCATTTAGTTTCAATTGTTCCCAATCCCCTCTTAATTTCTTTCAGTAGTTTTCCTATCCTTCTGATATTTATAAATTGACCCATAATACTTTTAAAATAAATCACAATTGAATACTTAAAAGCAAAATTGATCAATTCCTTTTTTTTTTCTTCTACTTTCCCTCTCTTTTTCTTTTTAATTTTCAATTTAATTTAATAATAAAAAATGAAAATAATAGTAAAGTTTTTATTAAACTAAACCATAAAACAAAATGTAACCCAATTTTTTTATTATGACAGTAACGAACGACAAAATTCGCTTAAAATATTTGTTTTTAGATTGTATTTTAATTTTGAAAAAGACACTATCTAATTATAAAAGAAAAAAAGAAAGTACTGTCTTCCTTATACCATTAGATTTTTTACACTCTCTATGTTTTTTTTTTAAAAAAATTGACATGTCACTAAACTATTGTTTATTATAGAAAATCAAAATATTAATTACTGGATTTCTTATTATATCTCGAATAAGAGCTACTTTAATATAGAGGAATCTCCTATTCTTAACATCAATTATTTATTTAAAAATAAGAAGTATTTTTAAATTGATGTACAAATCAATTAAGATTAAGTTATTTTTTTTAATGATATTATAAAATTAAGTATACTTTATATAAACCTGACATATTAAGAAGTATTTAATAGTTTTTTTTTATTAACTTTAAGATTTGAGTTATCTCTAATAGCCATCTCAACATTTAAATTAAAAAAAATTAAAAGTTAATAAATTTATTTAACCATGTAACTAAGCCATTGAGATTGAAAAAAAAAATCCTCTGAAGATTACTTTTCAATAAATGCGAACTCGAGGGGTGTGGTGTTTTTCCATTCCTCGTTCCTACATCCAAATTAATTTGGATCCCACATCGTACCGATGATATAAATAATTGTCAGTGGTTGGTGTGCGCTTCGCCTCAGTTTTATTGATTTCACTAATTCACTTTTCCATAATATCTAGTGCAACCTGCTCGCACAAATAGGATTTGGTTCAGTAGGACCCCGCAGACATGTCGTTTAATAGGGGGAATCTCCGATGTAAGTGACAAGTAGTCTGTTGTCGCCTCGTGTATGTGTGTGTGTGTATATACACACACACACGTTATAGATTTTTTTTTTTTTTTTTTTTAATAATACTCCCTTAATCAATTCAATAAATATTATTTTTGAATTTGACTATTGTTTCCAATATATCTTATCATTAAATAAATTATCATGATTTGTGATTTTACATTGTCTTAATTTTACCTAAATTAAAATTAATTCAATGTAAAACTTTAAAATAATCTCATCAAAACTTCTTAAAATAGAGTATATACAATCAAAGTTTAGATGTATATTGAATAAATATCAATTGGTTGTTACAATATCAAAAGTTCATACATTCTTTAAAAAAAATAAAAAAATTGACGCACTTAATTTTAAAATTCCAAAATAAATACATTTATTTTTTATTATCTCTTTTTTTCTTGGAGCAAGAAGGGTTCCTTTGTTGAATCTTACTTTATTGCGTTTAATTTATTGAGATTTTCGCATTTTCTCCCAAGTTTGGGGTTGGAGATTAATGCTTACTATGTGTCTTTGGTTACCGAAAAGTGTTGTACGAATCCATGTAACAAGTGTGTGGCTGAAGAGGTCTCTTGACATATCATAAATGTTATGATATGATATTTTTCTAAATATTATGCATAACTTTAATGCATTGTTAACTACATAATATCACATGGTATGCCATTTAGATATTTTTCTAACTCTATAACCAACATATCAATAATTTTTTAAAATTAAATATATTAATTGTAGTTATTCAATATATAAAATTTTTGAATTAAAAAAAGTTAAAATAGATTCCCTTTTTAATTTGTAGAGGAGATTAAAAAAAAAAAAAATTAGATTGGCTCTAGAAATATCGATAAAGAGTTGATTATATTTAAAAAAGATAAAAATTATCCAAAAATATTTATTTCAAAAAATGTTACCTTATTTGTTTCTATTCTTAAATTGAATTCTAACAAGCTATATTTGTCTAATTATTTTTAAGTCTATTTATGAGTTTATTTTATTTTTAGATCAAGTCAATGTGAATTGAGAATTAATTGAAAAACATTTGTTTATTTGGGTATTTGAAACTCAAAATCAACAAGTTTTGAAAAAAATAAGACTTTGAGACCTTTATTTGTTTATTTTTAGATAATGTCTAAAAATTGGATTTTTTAGAGTTTTTGTGTCAACCGACCTCATTAAGAGGGTGTTTGATAAAACTGAAAATTAAGTATTGAATTTGTTAAGTATTGAATATATTTCTAACAAGCTATTTGATATTTATTAAAAAATAAATGCTAAATATAATAAACTTGTTTGATAAGTACTCGTTGTTTAACATATTGAGACTCGTATACATGATAATTTTAATATTATAATTGTAACATGATATTTTTTAATAAAAATAAAAATATATACATTGATGTGCTTGTGTATACAAATAAATAAATAAAAATTCAATAAAAATAATTATTAATAAAATATTAAATACGAGTTTAAGATAACATTAATTATCGTATCATGCACAAAATAATTAAAATCTCAAGTACTAATCAATTCATTTGCAATTTGATCTCACAAATTAATCATAAATGTTTGATCAACTTATGCTTGCGCTCCTCCTTCGATGAATGGTAAATTTGTAGTAAAATTTGATATTTGATACATCACATAATCGCCATCAAATTGTTCAAAAAATTTATCAATAACAATTATTCTTCGAAGATAATTATGTATTGCAACACATGTAACAACGATATCTCTTTGAACTACAAATGGATACTCGGCCCATTGTCTTTAGAATTAGAAACCTTGCTTTTAGAATATCAAATGCTCGTTCAATAACATTCCTTAATTTTGCCCGTGCATGATTAAATGCCTTTTCTTTTGATCTTCGATGACGACCATTGCGAAAATCGGATAAACAATATCATGTATTACGATATGGTGTTATAAACCCTCTAGTAGGGTATATGTAGCATCACAAAGATAATATTTATCTACTATCAAATATTAATCTAATAAATTGCATATATATATATATATATATAATAACATAAAAAAAAAACTTGAGGGAAATTTTTTATGAAAAACAATTTAATAAGAATGGAAACAATCTACTAGGTAGAGAGATGAGAAAATTATTTGATGAGTCATGCATAGTTTCTATTAATACTCTTAAATCATGTGTTACACCTTCACATCCAGCCCAAACAAAAGTAAAAATTTATCAAAATCACATATTGCAAGAACATTTTGATAGCAATCTCCTCCTCCTCTCCTTCGTATGGGATTTGTTGATCGGGTGATATAACAACACGAATTAAAGTCCGATTTCATCTCATCCAAGAATTACAAATCAACATAACAAAACTATTTCACATCATTATTATTCTATTAAATAAATATATCAAATTAATAATATGATTAATTGCTTTAAGCTCTACTATGGAATGAAATGTATAAAAAAAATAACACCTCTTCATAATCGTCTCACTTTTGTGTAGTCCAATTGATTGTATTAGTCACTAGATCATAACCATGTCCAATTTTATCTATTAGTTTTGACCATTCTATGTACTTCTTTTTGAAATACGCTCACTCATTCTTTAGTTGTTTTTTAGACAATTTAATGCATTTCTTTTCCTCAAATGCTTTCACTACATTTTCTCATGATTCTTTTTTTAAGCTCCCTCCATTTTTTTCAAGAATACTCACTTGTTCAATGCATGTATCCAGAAAAATTTTTACTATTTTGGGGCCCTTTCAATTGGCTAGCACTATCTTTAGAGGTCATTCCTATATATAATAAAATGGCTATACCAAAAGCAACATTACCATAATCTCAAAATTACACTACAAAAACCACTTTAACATGTTTTTTTTTTAAATCAAACTAAATTCCTAAAAACATAAAAGCAATCGAATGACATATATAGCCATGCAACATGTATAGAATAAAAACTATCCCTTAAAACTATCCTAAATAATCCTTAATTTATTGAATAAGAAGGAAGGAATTGATATAACATATAAAAAGGAAGAGGGACTAAAAATAGTCTGGACAATTAACATTTTGGCACACGAATGCTTTTTCAGCGTTCTAGACCCAACACGAACACCACTAGAATCTCGCTCCATTGCCTACATCTCTCCAGAAACCTCCTTTTATCCCTCATTTCTCCATAATATACTATGCATGCTTTGTAGTATCATTTATTGTTTCTATTATTTTCGTCTTCTCCATAGTATATTATGCAGGCTTTGTCAGTATGATACTAACAAAGCATTAGCCAAGCACATGCCAGACCCAATATGTATACCACTGGAAAGTACCCTTGAAATTTAAAGATATATTAGCTAAGCGCACACCAGATCGATGAGCCCTTGGAATGATGTCAGTCGATTGATTCCCTCTTTATCTTGCCTCCCTCTTCGTTATTCATCTCTTCATCCTCCTTCTCCTGGGCTTCTGTTACTTTTCCTCCTTTCGTTCTCACCACCCATTGTCCACCTCTTAGTACTCAATCTACTTTTCCTCCACTTGCAACACTTATCTTGTCACCCAACTCTCTCATCATTTGGTCCTTTCTACAATCCACATTATGCAGATCTTTAAAGTTTTTAGAAAGAGGAGGAGAGGGAGGAGGAGGGAGAGGCGACTTGTGAGTTGAGGTTTTCAAAACGAGGAAGGAAGAAGGAACAAACGCTTTATAGTTTTCAAGCGAAGGCAAGGGAGGAGACATGCATGACAAGTTGACTGGAGGCGGCTTAGAAAGATAAAGTTTGGACGGTTGAAGGCTGAGGGTTGGGAGGAGGAGGAAGTGGGTCGATGGGGTTGTGCTGAGACTGAGAGTGAAAGAGAGAATGAAAATGTGAATGAGCATGCTGTGTCGTTAGCTATTAGGGTAAATATGTAATAAGGCTGTTAGCTGTTATTTTTTAATAGTTCAGCATGATAGACACAACAGGCTCTCGACCTAGTAGTTGAGCTGCAGTAATGATTTAACACTGTATGATGTTCTACCCCCTTAGAATTTCAGTGTTTTTCTTATTTGGAGAAAAAATAGAGCTTGGCATATATAACTATAATGCTTTTGGTTAAAACTTCCCATCCCTGACCGTTTAATTATCAATGAAGATCTTCAATTCCACTTATGTGCGTGATTCGATGGCAAGATAAATGGATTTCAGAACCATGGGCCAAGGGACATCAAGGGAAGTTGGGAAATACACCAACAAGCACTTATGTACATGATGCGAAAGCAATGGAATCAAGACCAGGTGATGTGAAAGAGTATCCAAACTCTTATGTGTTCACTGGCAATGGAGAGAGATTATTAATTTTTCAACTATGTTGATGTCTAGATTATGCTTTTATTGTAGAAATCGTGTCTCTGTAAATCACAAAAACTCTCTGCTCTAACTAAATTTGCACATGAATCTCTTGATGGATTTGAAGGATATCAACAGAAAATTATACAACAATAAAACAATATTGATGATGATGGGATTAGGAAGAGACAAACATAGTTGAAATATAAATCAAAACCCATAAACTAAAACAATTTAATCTACAAAATAGCTTAATCTACAAAAAAAAAAAAAAAAAAATCAAAGTCTTTTCTTAAAAGAAAGTGCTAAAACAAATTGATTAAGATATCAACAAATATGAAGAAAAATCACTTATAATGGAAAGAAAGGAAAATTATCCGCAATGGAATCGGATATTGGCATTTTAGATTTCGGGATGGAAGTATCAATGATGGAGAAGTTTTTTCTATTTTAGCAATAAGGAAAGTAGAGATTATTTTTTCGTTGGTTTATATATCTAAAGTTATAAAAATATATAAGGATGATATAGTCATATTTGAAAAGTTTTAAAAATTTTTCAATTGAGCATGTTAATCAAAAAGTAATAAGTTAAAAATTTTAACTTATTTAATTAAGAACATTTTAAGCTGAACTTAAATTTTTAATATGGGATTATTTAGGTTATCAAACAAACTTTTTATATTAAATAATACAACTTAATTTTTTAAGCTACTTTAATAGATTATCAAACACCCTCTAAGAGTTTTTGACGATATGTAAACTAAAGATAACAACTAATTGCTGTAAATATAATTCCAAATACCATCACCTTAAAGGGTTGGCAAATATATATAAAAAGAGAATAAAATCTATAAAATTATTTGCAAAACCACTTTAAATGGTTATGGAATCCCAAAGCCGGGCCTCTCATTCATTTGAAGTCACATCCAAGAAAATTTTCCATTCTAAAATTATATGTGGAATACATGTTCATGGGAATGCAAAACTTGAAATGCCAATTAACGCAAGTATGCTGTAAATACTGAATTATTGAATAAAAATGCAATTTTCATCATACTAAATTAAACATAATTAATTATAGAATTTTATTAAATTGCCATCAGACCTTAAAATCAGAAGTATCATCAATCTAATATTAGATCTAATTAATTTTTTTTATATAAAATTATATGCAAAAAAAAAATATAGCGAACGAAGACATATGAGGCTTGCAAATACAAATGAATATATGAATTTATTGCAAGCAAATGATTAATTTTAAAATGCTAATTTTTTTAAAAAAATTAATTATAAAATTTTATTAGATCAATGATTTTTTTCTTAACTCATACATCTAAGACTCCTAACGAGACCTAATTTATTAGGATTTAAAACTATAATTTTTTGTAAAATATTATTACTATTGGGCTACAAACTCTTTAATCATCAGACCAATATTGATTTTAAAAAATATGACTTGTTGACCTAATATCGGAACTAGTTAAATTTTTATATGTGGAAAATATGACTACGGAAAGTTAACAAGAAATTAAACTTAGCAAGGAATTAAGATTGGGCTCCTTAATCTTTGCAGTCAACGAAATGGGAGATTGTGTCTTCATCTTGTTCCACTGTGGCTAGTCGACCAGCAAGAGGGGTGAAGAAATACAGTCTGCGAGAAAGTGAGGATTTTCAAGTGTTGGATCCATAAGGTTTCGTCTTCTGATGGCTTAGGTTATGGGAAAAGAAGGTCCATTTGGATGTAACTTGATAGGAGAAAGCTTGAGATCACCTAGATTCAAGTCCATCTTCTCACTTCTTCGGCTTGAACCATGCTTGTGTTGGCCATAGAAGGAAAAGTAAAAAGATTATTGAGTTGTTCTTGTAAAGCTATAAATAAAGAGAAGATTTTTTTTAACAAAATTCTTTCTTCTGCTATTATTAATAGACAAGATGCATGACATATTTAAAGTACATAAGATAGTTCTAAAATCAGTTTTAAAGACTGAAAAAACATCTAAAAAATATGCTAGCACAAAACACACAAAACATAAGAAATATACAAGTGATATAATTAAGTAAAACAATAAAACATTTGTGATTTTTACTGTTTATTTACTATTCATTTAGTGTTGTATTGAACGACACATCGTCTGTTTTTTTTTTTTTTTTTTTGCTATGCTAGGCTAACCGAGGCTGCTTCTGTAGGCCTAGAGGCGTAGGACTGCATCAGCAGGCCCAATGTGCAGGCCTAACTTTGGTTTTTTTTTTTAAAGGAATTTTTTATTAGTGATTTTGTGCAAAAAGGTTTATGGCATGGGATTAATCAACTTTCATGAGGCAATTACGTAATTGCCATAATTCCGAATTGTGAGAAATAAATAATAAAAATATAAAAATATATCTTTATAATTGCATTACTCTTTACATAGTATAATATTATGTTTATATATAGACTTAAGTACAATATGATTTAAAATAGCCATGTGAATGACATCGGGAATTATGTGGCCGATGCTCTAGGTGTTTCCTTTGGTCATCGTAAAGTAGAGTCTGTAGTTGGTTGGATTAGGCCTTTTAGAAAGGTGGATTCAGCTAGATGCTAACAATTCTAGTTGTGGAAATCTGAGGATTGCAACTACTGATGGTTTAATTTTAGATAATGGGCGCTAGCTTCACAAGTTTTACAAGTAATTTAGGTATCTAGTCTTCTATGACTGCTGAAATGTAGGCAGTCTTTCATGGTTTGGATCTCACTTGGTGTTTGGGTTTCACTTGGTGTTTGGGTTTCAAAAAATCAAACTTGAGGTTGAATCTATGCTTGCTGTTGATTTGATTCAATGAGAGAAGGTTTAATTAGAGAGAGTCCTATTCTAGAAATGGTTCATCAAGCCAATAGACTATAAAAGATGGTATTCACTTATTGTGTTTTATTAACATGTCTGAAGACCAAAACCATCATCATAAAAAATTTCTTACTGGTGTGCTTCCAAAGCATGAATAAATAGTCTGTAATCGATACCTAGACCTTTAGTGATAGCACCTACAAGATCATCATTTGAAATTGGATGCTGTAAAGAAAAAAGTTGATCTGCAATCAACTTAGCACGATTCATATAAGTGATAATAGAATTGTTCCCATAATTTAGTTTATGAAGTTGGATTTTTAACTGACAAACTTGAACGCAAGATCCAAAAGAGTAGATCTTTTTAAGTTTTAGCCATTCTTCTCTAGTAGTGGCAACACCAATAATCTAAGGTAAGAGACTTTCAGATATTGAGCTTGCAAACCAGCTAAGAATCACTTGATCTTTTTGAAACCATGCTATAAAAGGTTGGATTAACAGTATCACTGAGTGTTTCAAATGGGCGTGCTTGTGATCCATTAACATGATGAATGAGGTTATATCCTCATAGGAGAGGAAGCATCTGAGTCAGCCACAGTAAATAGTTGAAACATTTTAATTTTAAAGAAATTTGATGAGCAATATTGGGAGAAGGGAGAAAAAAACCAATAGTGATTGTGGTTAATGCTTGATTAGTGGCCATATCAAAAAAAAAAAAAAAAAAAAAAAAAAAAGAAAAAGAAAGAAAAACTAAGTAGAGGACATGAAATTTGTTTTTAAACTTTAATGTTCTAATACCATATAAATATTTTAATCACTTGCTATGTTTCATTGATACATTTGAATATACACACATGTTATATGAATGAATTGATATGTATAGGTATAACTAACATATTAGATTAGGAATCAATTTCTTATATATTGGATGAGTTTTATCCTTATAATGGACAACTAGAGTTTGTCATGCTTTTTTAAGAGAACAATAGATTTATGGATTTCTTGCTAATATTGGTCATAGGTTTCTTTAGTCACTCATTACTTTAGTTCTCCCTTGGAAGGTCTATCGGCTTTGTTATATGCCGACTTAAATGAGGTATTTGTGTCCTATAAACTAGGTCGTAAGCTTTTTTTTCTCTAGGCGTTACCTCGTTTATAATTCAAAATGAAAAATAAAATTCACTACTTGTCTAAATGATTTATGGGGACTATAAAGAATTATTAAAATCACTAAAAATGTGCTTCTTTAGAAGATATTATAAACTCGCTATGAAATAAATGGTAACAATAGTAGAATTGAAGATAAGTGTGATAGAAAAATCTATAACATAAACTAAATACAAGAGATAATAAATCTAAATAATCTCTCAATCTTTACAAAATATTTATACACAAACTAATGAACAATCAAGCCTATTTATAGGCTTCAAAAGTGAGAAGAGATTTAGAAAGGACTATAAACCATTAAAAGATACATAAATAATTGAATAAATTACATCACCCTTTCAATTTTTTATATTGAATAGTGAATTGAGTCACATGAGTAGTGAGAATATGAAATAGTCATGGACATTCATTATTTCATAACACTTCACTTTGAATGTCCATCGTATAAGGAATATGCCTCGTTAAAACCTTATTAGAAAAAAAATCATAATGAAAGAAAAATAGTACAATATTCTTTGTACACATTAATCTCAATGTTGGGGCTCCCCTTGTTAAAAATATCATTTAAGAGCTTTAATACCATGTCTCTCTTACAAACCATTTTCTCAAAAAACGATGATAGGTAATACCTTAGTGAATAAGTCCGTTCGATTGTTACTTTGATGCATTCTTTCTTTAATTGCATTATACAAATAGCATTAACTTCATATAATATTGTTGGAGCTTTTTTGTTAGTAGATGAACTACATGTCTCTTAGATATGATGGATCGTTAATCTTAGTCAAACATATTTTTACCTTGTCTCATAAATTGGTATTTCTATATGGTGATTTGAGTATCTAGTAGTTATAGTTTGCTTCATAAAACATCATGATATAGCTATATCACCAAGTGTAAATATATAACTCAACTCGATTGAGTTTTATATGGACCAAATAAATAACTTGTATCCGCATAACCAGTTAGACTCGATTTTGACTTATTTGAGTAAAATAAATACCATATCAATTTTTCTTCGAAGATAACATAGGAAACGTTTAATTTCATTCCAATGTCTTCGTATTGGAGCGGAACTATGACTTGCTAATAAATTTATAGCATCTTAGGTTGAGTATTATTAGTAAGAAATATCAATGCATAAGTGGTACTAAGATATGGTACTTCGGGACCAAGTAGTTCTCTATTATCTTTTGAGGTAAAAAAAGTCCTTTTTATTCCATTGGGCTAGTTAATGGATGATCTTTATATAGAATAATTATAAAAACTTTTCTATAAAAGTTGATCGATAAATGAAAATATCATTCTCTATGTGCTCGAACTACATGTAGAGATAAAATTTTTATTTTCCCAAGGTATTTCATATCAAAGCCTCTTTTTAAATAACTTATGGCACTTTGAATCTTTCTAGGAGTTCCAATAATATTTAAATCATCAACATATATAATAATTATCTTAAACTCCCTTTTTGAATTTCTTTATACAAATACATGAACAAATATGGTTATTTTTACAACCTTCTTTCAATAAATATTTATTGAAGCAATTATACCACATGTACATAGGTTAGTAATAAAGAGTAGATATTAAAAAATAAACATAAAAAGTATAAAATAAATTGAATTTTTAAAACTAAAATAAAAAAAAATACTAAAATAATTTTAATAGAGATCTCTATAATTTTAATTGAATTCATTTCTTAAAAATATGTATTACATGCTTCGAGCATCTTAAGTCATTCTAGGACTTTCATATAGATATCATTTTCAATCGAACAAATAAACTATGATCGCATTCATCAAATGCATGCATATGAATTTTTTTCATATATTTTTTCTAGGCTAATGAAATAAGAAAATATAATTGCATTCATTAGAGTAGAATATTTCTCTTTATAGCCAATGTCAGTTCTTTACGAAAATTATTGTGTTTAAAGTCTTGCTTTGTATCTTACAATCTCATATTTCTTATTTTATTTTCACATAAATACACATTTGTATCCCTCTAGCTTAACATTTTTAAGTATTTTAACTATGGGTTCAAAAACTACTCATTTGTAAGAGAACATAATTCTGCTTGGATTACTCTTTTCATTTAGGTCAATCATCTTTATGTCGATATTCTTTAATAAATTTAGGCTCCCGATCCTTATTTTCATTCAAGATATCAATTGAAACATTATATTCAAAAATCTTATCAATAAATGTTTTTTTTTCGGTTCTATTTTCTCCCTATATTGACATAATTTATCAAAATCTCTTGATTTTTCTCAAGTACTTGGACTTCTTCCGGAAGCCTATTATCGAAATATCTTAAACCATTTTGTGAACATTTGCATCCTTTATATTTTCATCTTGATTATTGATAGTGTAGGTGTCCAAAGATCCAATCATGTTTGAAAGGGCTCGAGTTAATGTATTATTGTATCATTTATTTTAATAGTAATAAAGAAGTTATTTTATTAATTCTTATGTTTCATGTTGATAAATTTAGTAGAATTAGATAGAAGTTCTTATGATATGCATTTGTAATAGTGATTGATCGAAAGATATGAGATAAACACTAATGTATATAAATGATATTATTCAACATCTTAAGTCATAGCTTTATTAAGAATGGACATTGATTATATATAGATAGATTTATGAGTGCTATGTTTATACTATATGATAGCAATAAGAGATCTCATATCTATTGGCATGATGATGTCAAAGCAAGCACTTAGGTGATTTATGTTAGCAAACATATCACTAGACTTGACTTGTCATGAGAATCCATTTGGTTTTAGTCTATAGGAATCTCATGCGAGATAGGCACAAATGATC